GGACAATACTCAATATACTGAGCATTATACACAGAGACAGAGAATCACTGTCTAATACTGGACAATACTCAATATACTGAGCATTATACACAGAGACAGAGAATCACTGTCTAATACTGGACAATAATCAATATACTGAGCATTATACACAGAGAGAGTATCACTGTCTAATACTGGACAATACTCAATATACTGAGTATTATACACAGAGAGAGTATCACTGTCTAATACTTGACAATACTCAATATACTGAGTATTATACACAGAGACAGAGTATCACTGTCTAATACTGGACAATACTCAATATACTGAGCATTATACACAGAGACAGAGAATCACTGTCCAACACTGGACAATACTCAATATACTGAGCATTATAGACGGAGACAGAGAATAACTGTCTAATACTGGACAATACTCAATATACTGAGCATTATATACAGAGAGAGTATAACTGTCTAATAATGGACTGTATAATACTCAATATACTCAATATATACTCAATATACTGAGCATTATAGACAGGGACAGAGAATCACTGGACAATACTCAATACTCACTAATACTGGACAATACTCAATATACTGAGCATTATAGACAGAGACAATATACTGAGTATTATAGGCAGAGAGAGTATCACTGTCTGATACTGGACAATACTCAATATACTGAGCATTATACACAGAGACAGAGTATCACTGTCTAATACTGGACAATACTCAATATACTGAGCATTATAGACAGAGACAATATACTGAGTATTATAGACAGAGAATAGCCTTCCAGCTGAAGTGGTAGAGGTTAACACAGTTAAGGTGTTTAAGCATGCGTGGGAAAGGCATAAGGCTATCCTAACTATAAGATAAGGCCAGGGACTAGTGTAAGTATTTAGAAAATTGGGCAGACTAGATGGGCCGAATGGTTCTTATCTGCCGTCACATTCTATGTTTCTAATACTGGACAATACTCAATATACTGAGTATTATAGACAGAGAGAGTATCACTGTCTAATACTCGACAATACTCAATATACTGAGTATTATAGACAGACAGAGTATAACTGTCTAGTACTGGGCTGTCTAATACTCAATATACTCAATATATACTCAATATACTGAGCATTATAGACAGAGACAGAGAATCACTGTCTAATACTGGACAATACTCAATATACTGATTATTATAGACAGAGAGAGTATCACTGTCTAATACTGGACAATACTCAATATACTGAGTATTATACACAGAGACAGAGTATCACTGTCTAATACTGGACAATACTCAATATACTGAGTATTATAGACAGAGAGAGTATCACTGTTTAATACTGGACAATACTCAATATACTGAGTATTATAGACAGAGAGAGTATCACTGTCTAATACTGGACAATATTCAATATACTGAGTATTATACACAGAGACAGAGTATCACTGTCTAATACTGGACAATACTCAATATACTGAGCATTATACACAGAGACAGAGAATCACTGTCTAATACTGGACAATACTCAATATACTGAGCATTATACACAGAGACAGAGAATCACTGTCTAATACTGGACAATAATCAATATACTGAGCATTATACACAGAGAGAGTATCACTGTCTAATACTGGACAATACTCAATATACTGAGTATTATACACAGAGAGAGTATCACTGTCTAATACTTGACAATACTCAATATACTGAGTATTATACACAGAGACAGAGTATCACTGTCTAATACTGGACAATACTCAATATACTGAGCATTATACACAGAGAAAGAGAATCACTTTCTAATACTGGACAATACTCAATATACTGATTATTATAGACAGAGAGAGTATCACTGTCTAATACTTGACAATACTCAATATACTGAGTATTATACAAAGAGACAGAGTATCACTGTCTAATACTGGACAATACTCAATATACTGAGCATTATACACAGAGACAGAGAATCACTGTCTAATACTGGACAATATTTAATATACCGAGCATTATACACAGAGTATAACTGTCTAATACTGGACAATACTCAATATACTGAGCATTATACAGAGACAGAGTATCACTGTCTGATACTGGACAACGTCTCTGTGTATAATGCTCAGTATATTGAGTATTGTCCAGTATCAGACAGTGATACTCTGTCTCTGTATAATGCTCAGTATATTGAGTATTGTCCAGTATTAGACAGTGATTCTCTTTCTCTGTGTATTGTCCAGTATTAGACAGTGATACTCTGTGTATAATGCTCGGTATATTGAGTAGAGTATCACTGTCTAATACTGGACAATACTCAATAAACTGAGTATTATAGACAGAGAGAGTATCACTGTCTAATACTGGACAATACTCAATATACTGAGCATTATACACAGAAACAGAGTATCACTGTCTAATACTGGACAATACTCAATATACTGAGCATTATACACAGAGACAGAGAATCACTGTCTAATACTGGACAATACTCAATATACTGAGTATTATAGACAGAGAGAGTATCACTGTCTAATACTGGACAATACTCAATATACTGAGTATTATAGACAGAGAGAGTATCACTGTCTAATACTGGACAATACTCAATATTCTGAGCATTATACACAGAGAGAGTATCACTGTCTAATACTGGACAATACTCAATATACTGAGTATTATACACAGAGACAGAGTATCACTGTCTAATACTGGACAATACTCAATAAACTGAGTATTATAGACAGAGAGAGTATCACTGTCTAATACTGGACAATACTCAATATACTGAGCATTATACACAGAAACAGAGTATCACTGTCTAATACTGGACAATACTCAATATACTGAGCATTATACACAGAGACAGAGAATCACTGTCTAATACTGGACAATACTCAATATACTGAGTATTATAGACAGAGAGAGTATCACTGTCTAATACTGGACAATACTCAATATACTGAGCATTATACACAGAAACAGAGTATCACTGTTTAATACTGGACAATACTCAATATACTTTGCATTATACACAGAGACAGAGAATCACTGTCTAATACTGGACAATACTCAACATACTGAGCATTATACACAGAGACAGAGTATCACTGTCTAATACTGGACAATACTCAATATACTGAGTATTATAGACAGAGAGAGTATTACTGTTTAATACTGGACAATACTCAATATACTGAGCATTATACACAGAGACAGAGAATCACTGTCTAATACTGGACAATACTCAATATACTGAGCATTATACACAGAGACAGAGAATCACTGTCTAATACTGGACAATACTCAATATACTGAGCATTATAGAGAAAAACAAAAGAAAGGAAATTGTTACCACCATGTATATTAACAGTGTACATACATGTACGTGTACATCTGATATGACAGACAGATATTTATTGCCAAGTTGACACTTTCCTACGTTTCCACTTACTGGAATTACCGACACAAACTGACATTGATCACAGTGATTGTTTGTAACAGTAGCCTGTGGGATGGGGTCTATCAGAACTGTGATCTCCAAATACAAAGAGCGAATATACTGAGCTCTCTGATATTAAAGCAAACAGAGAATTGACACGGTATGACTGTATGTTGTATGTTTCGGGTGATGTGCTCCCTCCTCAGATTATTATTATCTGTGTGTTCGTGTCAACCTGTTATCTGTTCCCTCTGAGATACATTGTGTTAGTAAAATGTATCACAGGAGCCAGATAAACACCTTCCTGAGAAAGGCATTGCTTATAACACTCCATCAACATTGTTTAGTTTACAGGAGTTTATTTATTTAAAGAAAACTTTTAATTTGAACGATAATATTGATTCAAAGAAAGGCAATCTGTACAAAGAAACTGTGAGAATTATTTGTGTGTGATATTTTGTAGTGATAATAATAAAAAAAATAATAACATTTAAATATATATATATGGCTTTTATTAATTATTATTATTATTATTATATATGCGATTTTGATGTTTATAAATATAAATTATTTATAAAGGAGAGGGTTAATGCTGTAGAGATCGTGATTTTACCATTACATTATATTATATTTATTCTGATTTCCTTTTAATTACTGCCTAAAATATGTTACCACCTTAGTAAGTGCATGTTGGTTTACATCGTTGGATTAGATTAGAACAGATCACGGTCAGCATTCAGAAATCGGGGCTTTCAAGTTTGTCTTAAATCTATAGAAAAAAAGTGTAATTTCTGTAAATGAATTCAATGTAAACTTTATTAAGGGTTTTTCCCCTGTAAATAGGTTTGAAACGTCCAACCCGGCTAATTCTTTGTATTAGAAGCGATGACACTCAATACTCACAACCACCGTATAGCTTTAACCCGATATATTCCAGATCCTCACTGTGACATCTAGGACCCATTCTCACATTGTACCAATTCGTATTAATTAGACCAGAATTCCAGATCTACACTTTAAATATTAATGATCCAATTACCTAGCATTAAATCATTAAAAATAAATCTCTCTCTATGGGCAAACATTATAAATAATCATCTCTTCCAAATAAAACTATTGTTTGCAAGAGCGACCTGCTACATATTACAATGTATATACACACTGATTTATATATATCTCAAACTATATATATATATATAACACATTTACAAATTACATGGCTGTGTGTATTAATACAAGGATTTCTAAAAATAAAACTATTTTAATTTAAGATTTTTTTAAACCCATTGAGTGCTATCCTATTTTCCAATGTGTATTATATATATATGAAAATATATGTTCTATTTTTCACGGTTTAAGCACCAAGTTTTTGCAATTTAATTTACACTAGAGTACTGATTTTTTAAAATATATATATCTATATCTACACACACACACTGCATACATATACATACACTATACAGACATACACTCTATGTGGCCAATTCAATATTATATACTGACAATTTACATGCTATTACTTTAGGTTTAATTTTATATAATATTTCTGACTTTGATCTTTTGTGTCTCATTATGTACAGTGCTCTTCCCAAGCAGAAACGCTCCAAGTCCTTCTATGAAAGAGATTCCACCCCACCTGGGTCCTTCTCTAAACCCACATTGAGGATCTGACTTTATCTGCAGAATCTCTGGTTCACCTCTAGATACAAAGCTCCCAGACATTCAGGGAGAGACTGAGCTCTCATTCAACCTTTATTTTACAGAGGGACAGAAAAAAAAACCCACTTTCTAAGGAACTTCATCAGGCTCCTCGGATTTAGCTTAGCATACGTGATAAAACATTGATTGTCCCAGAGCGCTGACCCATCAAATGTGGGGGTTAGTTTTCTCTTCAGAGCAGAGCATATAATTATGCAAATACTGAGCTGTCAGTGATCAAGTGAAATACTCACAAATACAATCAATGAAAACGTGAAAACAAAGTGAAATTGACAAGTAGTTATGAGAACACAAAGGCAGATCAGTGGAGCCGCTGATTTGCAGACTTATTAATGATTGATCTTCAGAAGACTCCATGCTAGACTCACTGCTGCATGGACCTTCTCAGACACGATGCGTTTAGGAGGGGTCCAAAGACAAGAGATTGAAGACCCCCAGTATTACAGAACAGTACTAGGGGTCTCACCTTGGCACTGTAGTTGTTTAGGAACTACAATTCCCCAAATGCTCATAGTTTAGATGACTCACATCTCTCTGAAGAGTCAAGAAGAGCCACCACTGAGACATCAGATACGTTTAATGGGGTTCTAAAAGATCATAATGTTAAAATAAAGCTAAGTGCATGTTAATGCAAACTCCATGGACAGTTTATCAATCATTAATAACTTTGGACAAGATTCGGATTCTCATTGAGAAGAGATGATCAATGTCAATTGTATCCAGGGTTCTGGATTTTGGTGAGAGGAATAATTTGATGTGAAGTCGAGGTCTTCCATGGGTTGTGTGATTTATTGACTGGAGGTCGAGTTGAAGGGAATTCACGTAGAGTTTGAAACAGTCCAGAATAGATTATGGACACAGGATGCAAGGGACTCTCTCAGAAGAGTTATCCTACCCAAATTGTGATGCACCAGGTTTAAAAAAATAAAATAAAAACATATTACCATGATCCTTGAGATTGCTGTAGCGAAGCAAATTCCTCTCGAATAATTGGTAGATTTACCAAAATAGTAATTCATTTAGAACAAAAATTCATCAACAATTCGAATAATCAGAAAGGAATGTCACCTATATTAATTGCTGCTACCTGGGTAACTTGCCCAACCATGAATTTAGCAGGTAGGTTGTGGCTCGGTCTGTTGGGCAATGAAGAACCCGATTTCGGCAATTAGCAATCTTACATCAGCCAAAGGGGCTATAAGTGGCCAGTTATAACTTGGAGTGACTATGAATCCATATGCGTTTAATTTCCCCTGTTTCTGCCAAGCACTGATCAGTAAGATGGAAGTATAAAGCAAGTTCTGGTCCTTTAAATGGATTAGTTTATCCAGAGAGGCACTGTTTAACTTTATTTATTATCCTATTTACGCTGGAAATTGTCCTGGGAAGGAACTGAGGATGGATTTAAATATTTCACAATCGAAGACAGAGGGGGAATTATCTGCCACTCCTGGGGTTTCCTATCTCTGTGGTAGTTTCCCTTTCAGGACCCCATCCACCCTCCTATCCCAAGAAGCTGTCTCCTCTCAGAGATTAGGGGCCCATAATATATGCATAGTGTAGGGTATACAATAAAGGGATAGGACCCAAGCCAGGGAACTCCCCAAAGACTCCCAGGCAGCATAAAGTCTCAGCTTCACAACCGATTCCAAAATATCTGAGCAGTTTCCCCAGCAGCAACAGCCAATGGTTCACATGTGTATCCACTAAACAGTGAATAATGTCATGAAATGAAATGCCAATGGCAACATTCAGGATAAAATAAGATGTGACTGGAGCTGAACTGGAAATTCATTTTGCAAATCAACTATTTTAACCTAATGTATACCGTATGTTAATTCGTTGTTAAATTCATTACAAATCCCGGTTTTGTAAAAAAAAAAAAAAAAAAAACCCCAAAAAACTGCTTGGCAGTTTTTCTAGTTGTTGTAGCCAGGACAAGTAGGGTTAAAAAGGCACAGGCAGGGGGACAAAGTTTGTTTCTGCTTACAGTTAGATATACAACAGAGATTAAAAAAAAAAAAAAAAGAAAGAAAAAGAAAAAAGAGGATTGGTGATTATTGTGGGTTAACATTGCAATATAGCAGGAATGCCTAGTTATCGCACTCCCTATATTTATGAACTACATTTCCCAAGATGCTCAGCAATAACTTAGCTGAAAAAAACTCCTGTTGATAAGAGCTGGACTTTATTTGTCCAATTCGATTTTGATCTAAGATTGCCAAGTTTTCACAAATTGCTATTCAATGAACAGACCCCCATTGTTGCAATAAAAACACACACAGGCACACACACCAGATAAAGCAGACTCCGAATAAGCTGTGTTTTTAATCTTACTATTTTTATACTACATCTATCATTTTATTTATGTTTGCATGCTGATTGAACTATGCCATGTTAAAAAAAAAAAAAAAAATAGAGATTTAATTTATTAAACTCACCCATGAAGAAAATATGTATATACACACCCAATATGTTACAAAAGCAAAGGATCATTTATTAAGTGTAAACAGATATACAATGTAGGATTTTTCTGTGCTTTACAAATTGGAACATAAGCAGACAGCACTCAATGAGTTAACAACAAGTAGAACACAAAGTAGCCCAGTGAACAATACATGATTGTTCAAATTGGTTTTATTTATGAATGAAATAGTACAACTGAACTGATTCAGAGTATTGTTTTGGCATATTTTTTTTTTAACAAGTCATATCAGGTATATTAAATCTTGAACAATTCTATTGTGAAACAGGTTTTAAAACAAATCCCCATATAACAGATTCTGGGTTTACAATGTCACAAAGTAGAGCTGATCAGAGCACAGGTTAATATTAATTCATGGTAAAGTGCTGTTTTCGTGTGAGCTTATTGGGTACAATCCAGGTAAAAGCTTTTATACTTTGTGTTTAAACATGGCATCAGTGTATAAGAAAGCCATTAGCAGGCCAAGCATGGTGAAAAGGTAGTCCAAAGGCCAGCCATCACTGGGATAATTTGTCACCTAACCCCTTGAAAGCCAGAATTATTCACTATTCAATGCTTAGGAACACTTCCGGAACCAAAAGTATTAACTACAATTTGGGGTTTTCTGCAGAGGGTTACTAAGCCATCATTACTTAAAGGGATTTAAGGGTCACAATTAAAAAGAAATTGTATGTTTAAAAAATTAAGAAAAGAAGCTTGTATTGATTTGAAAATCAAGTTTGCATCTACCACTGAAGATACATTGAAAGTGAAAACACACACACATATATAGTGACTGTCCTTAATAGTATATAATAGCATGTATAGAATGGATAAAAGTCACTTGAGCAGTCATTTCTTAACAGTAAGGGGCTCAGTTCCTGAACAAAGACATGTTAAAAAAACATTTTGCCAAATTTAGGTCAAGGAATGTGGCTTTGAAATTGGGGATTTGTCTTCAACATCTAACAGCATTGGCCTACATTTTAAAAGAGGTGGTCAACTATTATTCAATATTGAATTCCTAACCCCCCCCCCCACCCCCTCCCTCAGGGACAGAGTGGGAAGGGAGGTATACTTCCCTAAAATCATCCCTCCTTGCCCTAATCTCAGTCTTCCACTCTTGGAAGATGAGACCACTTGGACCTACAGAAACCTCCACAGATTATATTGCACTTACACAATGAGAAGTCACGAGAAGCCATAAACATCTGCTGAGCATTGTGAAAGAAGACTCAACATGGCTGAGGAGATTTTGAAGATGTGGCAAGCATAAGAGAATTACCTTTTGACACATTCTGCCAAAAATAGATGTGCATATAAGACAAAGTAGCATGGGTGTTGATAGGTTCCAGAAACACCTGGGGCTTCAGCCCAAAGGACAACTTGACGACACACTGTAAGCTCGTTTGAGCAGGGTCCTCTTCGTTCCTGTAATTTTTCTTGAAATTGTCCTATTTATAGTTAAATCCCCCCTCTTATAATAAATTGTAAAGCACTACGGAATCTGTTGGCGCTATATAAATGGCCATAATAATAGAGGGGGGACATGGTATGACATCCCCACCTTTTTATGTTACAACCCTCCTCTCTGCCCATGAGCAGTGTGCTGGATCTCAGCAATATTAATGTAAGCCTGACAGACTACCTAACTAACAGAGGGGTGTGAAGCAAAGATTTGTTCTTTACCACCCTCTCCTAACAGACCACTATATTACAGATTTTTTATTTTATATTAAGCGGGATAAAATTGAAAAAGCCCCCGCCAATATCCTCCTGTCCCCACCACCAACTGTAGAGATCTGGGGCTAAAGTAAGGATTTAGCCCCCAGACCCTCCCTAGTGATGCCTATGCAAATTAGTCATATTTTGTCTTACAGTATCTTTTTATGAAAAATTAACCAGTACCGGCAGTGCCCCCTTTACAGTATTTTTTTTAAATCTTGTATGTGAGGACAATGATTATTATTGGATATTGTTCTCTGTTTCTCTTTATATTCCCTTATCTGTGTGACTTCTTAAAACAGTGACATAGAAAACAAGCTTCTTACTTAATTTAGAATGTGAGAAATGTACTATATACAGTAAACCTTTATTAGAGACATTTCCAAATATTAACCCCCCAAATTAAAAAAGAGGCATGGCTGGCACTTGGAGACAAAACACCACCTCATTATCCTTCTAACCAGTTCAGAATAACTAGAAAAGAAACAGAAGAAAATTATAGAAAACAAAGTAGATGCAGAAAATAAAAAATACGTAAACATTCCATATTAATAGGTTTGTGAAAATAATTTGCTGTTACCGTGTTTCTCCGAAAATAAGACCAGGTCTTATATTAATTTTAGTCACAAAAAACACACTAGGGCTTATTTTCAGGGTAGGGCTTATTTATTTACGTTACCAGTATGTACAGCTCTTTCTCTTTGCACTCATCTTGTCTGGGGATCAAAATACCATACTGTCTAATTAATCCACCCCCCTCTAATTAATCCACCCCCCCTTTAATTAATCCACCCCTCTAATTAATCCACCCCCCTTTAATTAATCCAGCCCACCCTTTAATTAATTCACCCCCTTAATTAATTCCACCCCCCCCTCTAATTAATCCAGCCCACCCTTTAATTAATTCACCACCCCTTTAATTAATTCACCCCCCTCTAATTAATCCAGCCCACCCTTTAATTAATTCACCACCCCTTTAATTAATTCACCCCCCTCTAATTAATCCAGCCCACCCTTTAATTAATTCACCCCCCTTTAATTAATTCACCCCCCGCCCCCTTTAATTAATTCAGTCCCAGACATAAAATATCTACCGGTACTCACATTTCAAAGATTCCTTGCCGAGTCCGACCACTGGGTGCCTCACCGCCCGGAAATGGATCCTTCCGCTGAAGATCCGTGAAGGCAGACTGACGGCGCTGCGAAAGGTCGTCATCACGTTGCGCGATGCCGCGGCCCGCAACGCTCCCCCCTCCTCCTCATACGGTAGAAGAAGGAAGTCTCGCCGGGCCGCAAAGGTGCAATGCCTAGGTCTTATTTTCGGGGTAGGGCTTATATTGCAGCCCACCCCGATAATCCGGCTAGGGCTTATTTTTGGGGTAAGGTGTATTTTCGGGGAAACACGGTATGTTTGGGAAATGTAGCTTCCCAAAATACTAAAAGATTATGTAGTAAAAGGTCTGCATACATCTACAATGCCACATACAGTATCTATGGAATATGACACACAGATCTGGACAAATATTTCGTTGTTTTGCTCTACCCTTTTCTGACCATTTGCACAGGGCTATATAGGTAAGCCTTTCAGGTTCCCGAACAGAGCAGGCTAGAGGGATGTCAGAGTTACATCTCTGCAAAGCAAAACTGGGAACTTTCCCCCCCCCTCTTTCTTAAAGGGTCAATCCAGACTCCTAAATAACTTTAGCTTGCTGAAAAGCTTTATGTGTGAAGAGTGTGTCTTCATTTTTAAATTTTGAAAAAAGTGCAGATTTCAAGAGAAATTGACACTTTTATAGATTAACCTGGTTACACCACCTTGACTTTCAAGCAGACAACAGGTCGTGTTACTTCCTGGTTTGGTTAGCTTAATGCAGCTGACCTCAAGAAGCAACAATTGCTCAGAGCACCTGACTTACATAGACTTCTAATTATAAACTGCTGTAATGTAGAGAATATTAACCTTTATTCCCGAGCAGAGGAAAACATCACCCAAATGATAGTCTTACCAGTCTCCCATCACTTGCAGCCAGATGCATAACTAGAAACCACGGGACCCTGGGGCCCCGCAATACATCTACCTCCTACCCCACATGTACCCGCCCCTCCCCAACACATGCAGGCAAACAGATACACATGCAGACACATACATACAGAGACACACACTCAGACATATACACACGTACACTCACAGACACACATATACACTCAGACACTCACTGAGACACACATACACTTACATACAAACAAACACATACACACACTCAGACCCATACACTTACAGACACATACACACTCAGACACACACAAATGATTATTAAATGTCCACCCAGCACTGCACTGCACTGCCAGGCTAAGCTCAATGCAGAGAGCTTCTGGCTCTCGTGGAGGAGAAATTGACACCTTCTAAAATGTAGCCCATGGATCAGCGCAGCTAAGAGTAATAGGCATTGACAGAGCCAGGAGGTAGGCATAGCTTGTGAAGGAAGTAGTGACAGCTAGCATGCTGGGTAGGGTGGAGCCATAAGGGGAGTATTTATACCGGCTTTTATATGAAGTGGCCATTTTAACTGAACCTAAGCTTACCTGTCAGTTGTCCGTCCCTCCCACCCTCCCTGTATTTGGTTAGGTTAGTTGATTTCCCGTTTTTTCACAGCGGCGGGGAATGGCCTGGTTAAATCGGAGGGTAGATGGAGGAGAAAGTGGGCATCCAGAGGTTTAGTGTGGATTGGGCAGTGTTGCACGTGGTTGGTAGGTTCGAGCCCGTCAGTGGCTCCAAACCTGGGGGTGTGGTGGTGTCTTGGAACACCCTACACTGGAACTGGTGGGTAGCGGTGTCTTGGTATACCCCTACAACAGATATGGTGGGTAGTGGTGTCTTGGAACACCCTACACTGGAACTGGTGGGTAGCGGTGTCTCGGTACACCCCTACAATTTAACCTGGTGGAAATGTGGTCAAATTGGGCGGCCAGTTTCTGTATTAACATGTTATTTAGATTGTTATCTATTATTATTGTGGGGTCATTGCTAGGGGTATGTTATGTATATGGGGGGTATGTTAACTTTAATAAGATTTGTTGGCAATGACCCCATTTGTTATTCCTTATTTTATTAATAATTTAATAAAGCTGTGGACTAATTATTTCCAACAGTAAAATCTGTGTCCGTGTTTGAATGGGGGTTTTGGTAAGGTTAGCGCATATGCCGGCAAATCCGACTGTGCGCCTGTCATGTATTTTGTTACACCCCCTGACTGACAATCAGCGAGCCAGTCCTGTTACTTCCTGGTTTAATTAGCTCCATGGAGCTAAACGCAAGAGGCAGCATTTGCTCAGATCACCTGTCTTGCAAAGACATTGAGCTGCATTGGGAATTCTGTGAGAAAGCTACAGCCTTGGTTGGAATAGTCTCGGCAGTGTTAGAAGACAAGACTTGCAAAGACTGCAGACAAGAGATGCATGCATGTTGCTGTTAGGGGTATATCTACTAAACATTGATTTTTAAAAAATTTGGTCAGTGGAATGCTTCTTTAAGGCATTGTATGTATAATGCATTAAAATATACGCAAACATAGAAATTATATATAACAAAAATTATAAAAGGAGAACGTCTGGTCATCTTCAAAGTTCCCGTATTTGATGGAAATCCTGCTGGCAGTTCCTATATGGCAGTGAGCTCTCAGCAAACTAGCAAGCGATTCAGCTAATTATGATGCTTAGTTTACCGCCCATAGTGCTACTAAGACTCAATGTTGTGTTTCATGAACACAGCATGGGTTTCTGGGAGTATTGTTCAATTGTCAACTTTCTATTGCTGAAAGTTAACAGCTGACCCACAACTCTCAGTAAACTTGTGGCTTTCTGTACACCAGTATATTGAAGTAAAAATAAGAGGGACAAAAAGGACGACTTTTAAAAAGGAAAACAAACAGAACCCCCTCCCCTCCCACCCACTACCCACCCACAAACTAAAGAAGATTAAGAAAAAACTCAGCACCCCGCTTAACTGTTACCTAATGTACATATTGTGCCTAATGCGTGGATGCATGAAATAACCTTTTCAAACGATCACTTTTTTCTGCACATCTGATAGAATTCTCGTGCTCTGGATCCATTCTCTTTCAAGATTGTAAATGGCTGCAATAAGTCCTGGAAATAACTTTTGAATCTGTTTTGGAGAAGAAAACATGGCATGGACTTTTATATTACGGAGTTGGTATATTTTATTATCATAAAAATGATCAAAGCCACAGCAAAAATCTGAGCAAACAAAAACAGCAGGGATGGACACATCACCATACATTTTAATAACACGTTTTATGATTTGTTTCCAATGACTAAGCAGTGTTTTTGGTGGAATCCTTTTTATACGGTCTATAAAGTTTAATTCACAGGAGATAGTTGTGTTTTGTTTTACTAAATGTGTTGGCGGTACTGCATTGTAAAAATGATCACATTTCATACCTGAACACATTAAAAACAGGGATATGGGGTTTATTTGTAGAAAAGTGTTAATCAAAAGGGTTAACATAACTATGTAAAAAAACACAAGTTCAATTTAATTTTATTATTATTTTTTTTTACCGTTTCAATAGAACAAGTTACACAGCACAATGATGGTTTGCGGTAGGGTTAAATTGCAGACATTCTAGAAAATCTGGAAGGTAAACCATTTAAAGATTGCGAGAGTACGAAATAATAGCAAGTGATTGATTGTGTGAATTAATAGCAATCCCGTTTTACAGAGAATAGATCAATTTGAAACATTAAAAATATATGGATTTCATAATAATCCCACATAACAAATTATCGATTTTTGCTTGTACTATTCACAGTGTATCAGTTTCATCACAAAAATAAGCTGACAGGCATAATGGCGGAACTAGCGGTCTATACTTGTGAAGAGAAGAGTTCCCATGATTCTCCTCTATTTTAACCTTTTAAATGCCAGAGGGTTGAGTTATAAATTATTTACCGCCCTCTGGCATTTGAAAAGTTAAGATTTGGCATTACGCAGAAACTGAAGTCAGTGACCTTAAACCAGAGAAAATACAAATAATGAAATATTAATAGCGTTATTAACATGGACCAGAGTCCAATTCTCAGTAGCTAAGCAACACGTATATAAGATATTTAAAATTCTTCTGGCCCTATAGAATCCCATGGAAGCAAAAATCAATAAATCTGTATTAGATGTAATTTCCTGTTACCCAATCTAGCCATCTACAATTACAAAAAAGCAACCACTATCTTATCTATCTAAAAATAGATATAGTCTTTTTAGAGTAAAAAAAAAGAAAAAGGATTAACCTTATTTGTAAGAATCATAAGTCAACCTGATATTGTATGGCAAAGCACAGACTATATAGAACGTAAGATGCAGATCACAGTATTTTAACATATAGAATGAATTGATTTATTACCCACCCATAATGAACAGACAGATTCATTCACTGAACAACATATTGTGAAGAACTGACTCCAGGGAAGAGAATTCCAAAACAGTAGAATAGAAACATTTCTCAATTTCAGCTATTTTTCCATCTGGGCTATTTTATCCAAACATTTGCAATTTCCTTGTTAGTTCTCTACAATTACCAGTTTAGTGATGAAACCCTACAGCATTAACTGTCCTGCTGCCAAGGGTTCTACCCAGCCTTATTATGTAGTAGTAATCCCAGGCCGTAGAGCAGTTAATACTCATTCCCAATTTAACATGTATTTTAAACAAAGAAAAATTCAACATTGTTCGGAACGGTTATAAAATATTTGTTAAGACCTCATCAGACAGTATTT